CTCTTGCTGCCGCCTCAACTTCTCTTGCTGCCGCATCAACTCGTCTTCTTGTTGCTGTTTCAGCTCCGCTCCCTGTCGCTCCATCTCCAGTCGTTTTTCCAACCGTTTCACATGCAGAGCCTTTTTTCGCGCCGTGATCTGAGCCTCAGCGGATGCGCCGGAGGCTGACGAACTGGAGCTCACTCGAGACGACCGCGGCGGGCTGGGCCGTGACCCAGCTGTGAGTCAGGGCGCGGCTGCTGGAGCGTCGAAATCTCCATGGTTTCTTCCCTTTCTTTCGTGACAGGAACTCCGCCGATAGCGCCTTCACTTTGCGGTTTCCCTTCTTATTTTTCCATTTTCGATGAAGTATCCTCCGCTTCTGTTTTCTTCTGGCCTGATCCGGCCCGGAGGACCATTAAATGTCGCCGACCTTGTCGTGCCTCTGGTGGAGGCCGGTACATTTATTGTAGCGGAGGAAAAACGTAGATGAATTTTGATGAATGTATTGAAGAATTCCGAACGATAGATGATGTTGAACGGTAGACGAGGGTGAAATTGAAGAACGCAGAGTAGACAGCTAGACCAGAAAACACACTAGCACTGTCGATGGTCACTGTTGTCCGCCGAGGCGGACACACCGGCGCCGCCGCGGACGGGGGCGCCGTCGGATTCACGCGCCGGTCGGGGCGCCGGCGAAATCGCGCACTGCCACTGCGCTCAGTGTCGTTCAGTAGGCACCGCGAACGGAGGGTGCCGTCGGAATCGTGCTCGGTGGCACGATCCCGTCACTGTTCACTGTTCACAGCACCGGCGCACCTCGGGGCGCCGGCGGAGTCGCGCACCGCCACTGAGAACTGCACTCGGTGGCGTTCAAGAGACGACTGCCCGCAGCGACTCGAGGAGCCGCCGCGGGCACAAAGAGAACAATTAGGTTGTACAACTAAAAGCACTCAGAAAGCGAAACTAGAAAGTGGTGAGAAAAGTCAGAGCAGGCTCGCGCGGCACGTTCGGCTATACGATACGGTGCGCGGCGAGCACGAACAGCCGTCAAGTGAGAAGCGATAGCGCGAGTGACAAATTGTAGGCAATTAGAACATGAGACGAGAAACTAACACAAGAGCTGGTCCAGGCCCACGGGGCACGATCAGTACTGCGATAGTTCACGCGTGGCTGTCAAATGTAAAACGAAAGAGAAGAACAACAGGGCAGTTCATTTCGTCGGTGACGGCCATAAAACATGTGTCGCATGCCCATGTAGTGGAAAGTGAAAACCGTGACCTTTCGTGACCTGACCTGAGCTTGACCTGTGCTTAGTTGGACCCCTTTACGCACATGGTATCTTCACTAGGCCTTTGAAGTCATTTTTGGTGAGTTTCGAGCAGGAGCTATCGATTCCGCTGTCCGTAAGCCTCATCATGCAAAACCCCAAAATTTGACCTTTGACCTGACCTTGACCCGAAAGTTGACCTCAATCTTAAAATCTTAAGAGTGCTTTGGGAAGGTCTCATAGAGACCTTCGAACGCCGCCTCGCGGGGATCGATACGACCATTGGCTTTCGAGATAATGGTGCCGGGCTTAGCACTAAGCAGGGGGGAGCATTCATTCTGGCCAGGGTTCATAATGTCCAGGGTACGCTATGCCAAGTGTCAAAATGGCCAGTGCCTTGAATGGGCCAGAGTTCATAATGTCCAGGGATTGCATGGTCCAAATGTGGCCAACTGGCTGCAGATAGGGTATATTCGCGCGCACCACGCGGCGGCCACCTCTCGTGGCAAACCGCACGTCTGTCCATCACGCTTTCTGGTGGTCGTGGTGCCACATCTTGGGTTTACCGACGCCGTCCCGCACTCGGTAGGTGGCTCCTCTTCTTTCTCTTCTTCCGTGACCCCACGGGCCCTTGTGCCGCAGGCCGAACATTGGCTGCCCTCCAGCTGCCGCTCGGAAGTCGCGCTCGTTACCGGCTACGGGCTCGAAGGGGCGTGTGGCCGGCTTGTTCTGCACCGGGGCCCTTGGAGGTGGGGTGGGCCTTTTCCGCCTCCCCGCTCGTTCATTCTTGCCTCTCAAGTCCAGGGCCCTGCCCCACTCTTCCGGCACCGAGGTGTTGCAAGGCGTCCGATGGCTGAGGCGCTGTCGGGCGTGATTGTGCGGTGGGCTCTCTTCTTGCGCCTTCTGCTTGCCGCTCCACTCCACCGGACTAGCGTCCCCTGCGTCGCCGTCGACACTTGGACGGCTGGTGGTGCGTGCTTCTTCGCCCGCCACATCGCCAGCCGAGATGACCTCGCCGCTGGCCTGGGCAGTCTGCCGGTCAGATTGGCCTGCGATGTCAATGCTGGGCGACCCGCCCTCGCATTGGCTCGTCCCGGACCCGTCGCGCTCGACCGGGTCCCCGCATGGGGCCACTGGGGCTGGCCAGTGTCGCCACTTGTCCAACCCTGCTGACTTGAAGACGGCCCGAGCGGTACAACTCACGAGGGCCGCTGCCCGCGCGCAAACCTGTGAGCAGCGCCTCACCAAACCGGAGTTCGCGGTCCCCAGCTGCTCGCGATGCCCGAGCTTGTCGAGCTGAGGTCGGGATGCGGGCGGAGCCTCGCTGCCCGCCGGCTCTGATCGTATCGTGCACACGAACGACGGTGTAGGAGGGCACCCTTGCCGCTGTCCTGTCGCGCTACAATCCCTCGATTGTGTGGGCTGCCCTGCCGTAGGGGTACCGTTGAGGGCAGGTGGGTCAGCCACCCTCCGCTGCCACTCACGGTCGCTCCCCGCTGCCTGTGTGCCTCCCCGCTGCAAGTGCCCCATGTGTGCTGTTGGGCCCTCCATCGACGGGATATCGGGCGTGCCTACGGCCGCAATCGCCGGGGCAGGCGGGCGTCCCACCCATCGCTGACCCCCACGGCAGCACCCGGGACAGAAAGGCGTCCGTCCGCCGGCCTCCTCAGACGGACCACGGGGGCGCTCCGCCCACTCCAGGCCCGCCTGCTGATAACTGGGTGTGACAAACCGCCCCACCTGCTCGTTTGCGTGTGTGTGCCGCGCCGGACAGTCGCGGACCAAGTGGTCGGGGCTGTTGCAAAAGAAACAGCGGCGCCCTCTACCCCGCCTGTTCGGGTTTGGTGGCCCTCGTTGGGGGCTCCTCGCCCCTGTCCCGTGCCCCGTGCGGTAGGCGTCCCGCCTTCCCGCCGTCTCAAGGGCTTGCAGAGCGCGCTGCAGCTCTCCAATTATCCTCTCCAGCGCGTCCAGCCGCGCAGTGCCGGGCGCGCCTCGGTCTTGAACCGCCAACGCCTCGCCCTCGCTGGGCGGGCGCATTGCTCGGAGTGCGTCCTGCTGCCTTTCGAATTTGTCGGCGACCTTCACGGCTTCGATGAGGCTGGCCGGGTCCTTCGTCAGCACTCGCACTCGCAGCTGCTCCTCACGGAGGCCGCATATGAAGCGGCTGACGACGGTCGCTTCCACGGACGGGTCGCCGGCTTTCGCTCCTGGGTACGCCTCCTGGCCTACCTGACGCACCCTGTCGGCGAAGTCGCGCGTTGCCTCACCGGGCTGCTGCCGGATGTTTGCCAGCTCAGCGTGCGCCTGTATCGCCTTCTTCGCTGTGCCGAAACGGGCCTCCAGTGCGGCCACAGTTTGCTTGAGGTTGCTCTGGACCTCCTCCGACAGCGAGGCGAAATAGTCCAGGGCTCCATCTTGCAGCAGGCTGACCAGGCCCTGCATCCGATTTTCTTCGGAGAACGCGATCGTTTTCGCCCGAAACCGTCGGTACCACCGACCCCATGATTGGTTATTTACCCCCGTGAAATTTTCAAAGCTAGCTAAAAGTAAAAGTTCTCTCTCCATGTTACGTTACTCTACTGAGCCGATTCAAAATAAAATGAAAATAAAAATTTACTTTAAATGGTGCAACCCAACGAATGCGTGTCCGCTAGTGTCCGAACCGTCCTACCGACCGCGCCAGTTGTTCGGAACACGCATTCTCGGGTAAACACCACGGCTCAGCTATCTAATGTATTGATCGGTGCACATCGGCTCATTACACGCTAATACCCTGACTGCCCATCGGGCCGGACCTCTTGTCCGCTAGCCCATCCCTGAGCTCCTCTTGGCGAGCCAACCGCTCAGCCCCGAGCTCCACCCGCCGAGCCACCCGCTCAGCGACTGCCGCCGCCGTTTTTGTTTGTTTGTTTTGTTGGGTTAGGCCCTTTCGGTCTGACAAGACCATTTCAGAGCCGGGAGGATAATAGGATGTAGGGGGAGACATTGGTCTGGGCCGCCGCCGGCGATGCGCCGCGTTATATAGGGGGGCTGGGCGCCCGCCCACCAATCAGCGGCCGCCACGTCACATACGTCACCAGCCGGCGGGGACTGCAGGCTGCAGCGCCGGCGCACGCTGCCGGCGGCCGATACGAACGGCCGCTGCTCCCCAACAGACACATCGTGCCCTGGACATTATGAACCCTGGCCATTTTGAACACTGGACACATCGTGCCCTGGACATTATGAACCCTGGCCTCTTTGAATTTACCCTATCTGCCAGTTGGCCACTTTTGGACCATGTAATCCCTGGACAATGTGAACACTGGCCAATTCAAGGCACTGGCCAATTCGAGCACTGGACACATTGTGCCCTGGACATTACGAACCCTGGCCTAAATAATACGCACCCCTAAGCAGGTACCTGAGGCATAACCACGTGGAGCTCTGAGAATGAGTGCCGGCCACTGATGGCCCCACATCGGTCGTTGAGGACTCAATTTAGGACCATAGTGGTCCCTTGAGAACTATTTTATCAATACTCCTTACATTATGCAGTACCAATAAAAAAAAAAACTACCGCAGAAAAAAATCAAGGTCCAGCCTTCACTTTATAGCTTGTCTGTGACACACATAATATGATTTGGTATAGAGTAGGTGTGCATATTCACTTGGTCTATGTAAAAGAATCCTGCATTACAACAGCAAATGTGTATGTATACTAGTAATTATATGTAAGCTCACAAATAATGTTAAAAAACTCCTTTTGCAGGATCATACCCAAGTTCCTGGGAAGATTCTAGCATGGCAACAACTGGCCAACCTTCTTCAGAAAGGAACACCCTGCCTATCACTAGCAATGTAAGTGAATGGGTGCGTTGTGCTTGCGAGCAATGTGTGTAAAAACATAACATCCCTATTTGACGAACCTGGCATTGTTTTCATTCTTCCGTATAAAATACAAAATAATTGAAACATTAACAAAAAATGTAAATAGTTACATAAAAAACGGTCGACGTACATATTTAAATTGAATGAAAAATGGCCTATGTAAGACATTTCACCTCAATAAACATTTCGACAGGAAAAAATCGACGGAGACGTTACCACCATTGGGAGCATCACGTTCGCCCAAAGCGGCTTCTTGGGAAAGGGTGCCTTATCTACTGTCTTTCGGTAAGCAGTAATTTCCGTCATAGAGCTTCTTACAGCTTTGATGTCGACCGGCTAGGGGCATTGATGGCGCCGTTTCTTGTTCTAGGCCTACATGGTCTCGGCTCATATCAAGGCTATATAAGCCAGTTAGAGTTTTCCGGTTAAAAAATAGGCGATTCTAATGTCGCTTTTGGAGATCACTCGCGAGTACTCGCATGGACCAGATTTGTGTTGAATGCTACATAAATGCAATGAACGCCTACACTGGTTTCATATCTGTTTTTGCTAAGTCTGCTGCTTTTCTCCACTGTTACCCTTGCTGGACACATTAACATATGACGCCGTATTACAACTCTTCCCTGTACAGAGGAAAATGCGACAAGCGGAAAGAAGTGGCAATAAAGCGCATCCATTACCGCACCGAAGAGGAGCGACTGCTGATAGAAAATGAAGTCGACAACCTGTTGAAAGTCGAGGACTATGATGTGAAGGTCATCAGGTAAATCTGCTGTAGCAAATACAATAAACTCAATTGACCTGCATCTGAAGGTTTGCATATTTATGCATGTACGTAAGCACATATCTGTGCACATATCTGCAATAAGTAAGTCTGTGCACACAAGCACATATCTGCAAAAAAAAAAAAATGTAGAAGGTCAAATAAAATGTCAACGCATTGAGGGAGCCTGCTTGTATACTTATCTCTTGTACTCGAGCTACTGACGACTTCTTTTGATTTGGATATCATGCGCATGTCCTCAACTTGCGAACAAAACAACGAGATTGTGATCAACGATCATTGTTAGGGAAGATACATCCTGAATTGGAGTGTCTTAGATTGATGATTGTTTATCCCAATGGGGAAAAATGAACCAATTAAAAAACACTCCAATTTAGAATGTATGTTCCCTGATAATGACACCTGACCACAGTCTTGTTGATGTCGCAAGTTGAGACCATGCGTATTATATCCATTATCCATCTCAAAAGAAGTAGCCAGTACCACCCGTACAAGAGATACATATAAGAGCGGCTCGCTCACTGCGTTTGCATTTATTTGACTTTTGTAATAAAAAAATCGGGCACTGTAGGTATTGGCGGAAACCCACAAGGTGGTGTTTAAACACCCCGCCAACAGGACGAAGTTAAAGGGACATGTTCATGTCTAACATGGGAAATGAAGTTCAGATAGCAGTTTTGTTCGTTACTATGCTAAAACCACGTAATCCGGAGCCATTCGTCTCAAAAATATAATTTGACAACACTAGAGAGCAATTTCGATGGTTTTTACCAGATCGCCAAGGTCTTTACCAGATTCGACCAAATGTGTATGACGTTGCCACGAAAGGACTAGATTTCAAGTTAAGGTGAGCCGTTCCGCCTAATAAATTCGCCACATGCTATTCAATTGTAAAGTCACTTTATCTTGTATCTTATGAGCTATTTAATATACAAAACTGTCAATTTACAGGGTAGGTAGATAACGAAACGAAATACACCTTCAAAACGCATGCGCAATTATCGAAACTCACGCGCCATAACTCTGTAGCACATGGTTCATCATAACTTGTAGCGACTTGTAGTTCGCTATATTCACACCAGGTGGCTTTGTGTTGTTTATGACGTCTTTGCGATAAAATACGTCATCATTTTGATTGTAGTTATTCGTTGTTTTCATCAAAATTCGGCTAATCAATGGCATGCAACCACCTATTCAGGTATTATTATCCATTTTCAAGTGTTCTGGAATCATCCACTTTATTTTTTCAAGGTGAACATATCCCTTTAATCTGAAAGACCTTTTCTACTCATTCTTTAGATACTTTACAACGCAAAGGACTGCCAACTTCTACTATATTGCGATGGAGTTGGCACTGGGTACAGTGGAAGACTACGTGGAAAGGAAACAGGAAGTGGCCAAATCTGGTATGGACGAGCTTGATAATCTCGATGCGATCAGCATTCTCCGAGATTCATCCAATGCACTTGAATGGCTGCACGAGAAAAGTATCGGTGAGTTTTTAATCACTACTTTGCAATTCAACTCCAGCCTTCGTAAAAATTACAATAATGCATGACATGGTGGCTGCCCGACGCCCGTTGCAAGCGACGAGGACGGTCAAATCTGAAAAAAATCCGGATCGTCTGACCATTGTTACTTACTATTTGTAAAAATGCGATATGTAGTCAGGCTTGAGAGGTAATGATAATTTTACCTATGTTCTAAAGCAGACAGTTTTAGCGAGCTTTTGAGCTCTTGTTGCACATCCACTTAACCCGCTCCGTGCTGGTGGTCTGAAGTCCACTTCCCATGTCGTGCTGGGGGAGGGGGGGGGGCTCTAAAATTCCGTGAAACTCGGCTTCTTGGACACGCGGTAAGCGGCATGCGAAAGAGCTAAAAACACTGACGGAAATACTTGGGTCATTTCTTAGGTCAGGTCACAAGAGGTGATCAAAGGTCAAATTTGGTCTATTTCAACAGTTTTCGAAACACCCGACGAATAAGTCGGAAGCCAATAGTGTTACAGCGCCAAGGAAAACGCACTTCGATAGCTCTTTCACGGGCCTTTCTGATTATTGCCATCATATTTCACTTCCGGTCGACGGTTTAGCCTTCCGAGGGCAAAAACTAAAAAATAGTCGTCGAAAAAGTTTGTTCGGTAATAACTATTGACAAAAAAACGACATTTATTTTGCCAGCATCGTGTTCGTCTTGTCGGTTCAGAAGGTTGGCTGTCCAGCAGTTGGCCCCTAATGCTGAATGAAGACTGGTGAAATGAGCGACGATGCCCAAACCATGTCTGAAATGTTCGCATCATCGTTTGTTTCTGTTTACTCTCCTAACAGCCCAAGGAACCCTGCTCCCCATCAGATGTTCAATGGAACGCTTAACAGTGTTGATTTATCAACGGACGATGTCCTATCGGCACTGATGATGCTTGACCCCCATTCTGCCATGGGGCCCGACAGATTGCATCCACTGGTGCTGAAGTCTTGTGCTGCTGAGGTGGCATATCCCTTGCACTTGATCTTTCAGAAATCCCTGCAGGAAGGGAAGCTGCCAGCTCTCTGGAAAATGTCTATTGTAAAACCTATCTTTAAAAAGGGCCACAGATATGACCCCCTGAACTATCGGCCTATCAGCATGACCTCGGTTGTCTGTAAGACTATGGAACGCTTGATATGTACTAAACTTAGAAACTACCTTGAAACTAACTTCCTACTAACTAGCCAAGGCCATCTATAGAAGGTACAGTCACTCCCCCGCCGACCAATCAGAGACAGATCCTGAGTGACGTCACCCCTGATGCTCGCAAGGGGTACTCCATTCCCTTACAACGTAAAAATGACTAACTTCATTTGAAGATTGTTGGCGACACTCTACACATATCGCTCAGCCGTTGATGTCATTGGAAAGTCCAGCTAATTTTCTAGCGATAAAAAAGAGCAGCAATAACAAGCAACAATGCTAAGAAATGGCCAGTTTTGAAGATATAGAGGATTTAAAAATCCTCTGCAGTTGCAGGAAAGCAACGTAAAAACGCATAGAGCTTATATTTTTACTATGAATAAGTCATTTTCAGTAAGTTCTAGATATGGTATCGATTTATTACAATATTTTTATTGCCTGGAACTTTATTTCAAAATAATATTTTCAAAAATGGCAACTGTTGGCAAGTAGCTTTGAAGCGATTATGGCGCATTATTGTCCTGAGGCCCCCTTATGATGTCATCAAAAGTGGAGTGACATGGGCCTGTAACTAGCAACCAATTCGGTTTCAGACCAGGCAGGTCAACAATGGTCCAACTATTATTAGTGTATAACACAGTCTCAAAGATGGTGGATGCTAGACATGTCGTAGATATAATATTTTTTGACTTTAGCAAGGCCTTTGATGTAGTTAACCATGAGATCATGCTCGTAAAACTGCGATCACTGGGACTGCAGGGTTGTCTGCTTGACTGGTTATCCTCCTTCCTACAGGGTAGGTTGATGCAGGTCTGTGTGAAGGACTGTCTCAGCAAACCCCGTGCAGTTAGTAGTGGTGTACCTCAGGGAAGTGTTCTGGGACCCCTCTTGTTCCTTGTGTATGTGAATAGTGTTGCCTCCCAACTGAAAAGTGACTATAAAATATTCGCTGATGACATTAAACTTTATGCCTGTGTGCCCTATGATCCATCCTCCTCCTCTCCATCCCTTGCTACACAGCAGATCCAGAAAGACATTGACACTCTACACTCAACGGCAGCATCATGGGACTAAAGATGAACTCAAAGAAGTGTGTTGCTTTAAGGTTTAATGGCTCTAGTCCTAACATAGACCTACCGGGATACTTCCTTGATGGCCAGCAAATCCCTTTCTCTAAGAGTCATGTTGATCTTGGTGTGACTGTTGACTGTCGCCTGAGATTTCACGAACATGTGCACACAATTGTTCAGAAGGCAGGTGGCCTTGCCCAGAGCTTGCTAAAATCTACGGTCTGTCGCTCACCTGACTTCATGATGTTTCTTTTAACCACACACATTCGACCCTTGATGGAATACTGTTCGTGTATCTGGAACATGGGCTATATCGAAGACTTGCGTCTCCTAGAGAATGTACAGCGTAGGTGGACTAAACGAGTTGATGGGCTTGCTAACAAGAGCTACTCTGACAGATTACGGTCACTTAACCCGCGCCCTGCTGGGGGGGGGGTGTTTGAACACCCCCCTTGTGTTTTTTCGCGAATATCTCAAAAACGGCGGCGCGGAGCGCCGCCGTTTTTGGTACACCTTATCATACATCAATTCTACACATGTTGTAAAAATTTCAGAACAAGGTCATTCAAGGTCAGGTCACCAGGTCACTTGAAGTGACCTCACCTCATAAAAAGTTTCAATGTCTGTCATAGCTACACCGAGTGACCGATCGCTTTGAAACTTTCAGCGATTGCTAAGAGCAATAGCATGTACAAAATGTATATCTCAGAATTTTGATATCGATGACCTAAGGTCAGGTCAATTTTGCGACCTCCCCATTATAAGTCAATGGGAGAAAATTGAAATGCTCCTCTTTTTGACGAAAGACATTATAAACACTCCCAAACACTGAATTACAAGTGGTTTAGACACACTGAACATGAAAATGGTGTCCGTGACCCCTGTTTATGCCCTTAGGTCATCTTAGGTCACAAATGGTATCTAACAGTTTTTCGCAAATAACTTTTGATAGAGGCATGCTAGAGCGATGAAAACGCCTTAGATGTGTTCAGCTCGACGATACGGATCGACTGATATGCAACATGACCCTTTCCGGTCAGGTCATGACCTTGACCTGAGGTCAAATTTTCAAGTTGACCTTTCAAGGTCAAGTTATAGTTCATTCGATGCGTCTTGACGAGAGGAACACAATGCCGGTAAAAGTAAGCTCGTACAAGGCTTGGGTCAAAAGTTATTGCAGAAAAACTGTTTCCGAAAAAAATAGACTATTTTTGCAGTTTTTGCCCCCTGCAGGCAAAACGTTGACGTTAGGCCAAATCTGAGAAAATTACTCAGAAAGGGCGTTAATAGGGCTATCGAATGCGCTTTTCCGCGGCGCTGTAGCTCTATTGGTTCCCGAGTTATGCGTTGGCTTCTTGGAAATTGTCGACATTCGACCTGGAAATCGGCGAAATTTTGCCTTCAATGACCTCTGGTGACCTGACCTTTGACCTGACCAAAAAATTGACCGAAGTGATTTCCTCATTATTTTTGACGCTCTTTCGAACGCCGCCTTCCGCGTATCGCTACGTGGCCCAGGAGCCGAGTTAGAAGGGGGGGTGTTCAAACACCCCCCCCCCCCCAGCAGGGCGTGGAAATCCAGGACCCCCAGCCGGGCGCGGGTTAACTTGTATTCAGTACAGGGCAGGCTCCTTCGCTCAGACTTAATCCACTGCTGGAAGATATTTAATGGAAAATCCTGTATAGAGCCCATTGATGTGTTTAGTCGACCTCCGCAAACACGAACACGAGGACACACACACAAAATATTTCCCGTTTTTACCAGGACTGACACTAGGAAGCGTTTCTTCTCAGTGCGATGCATGCCTGCTTGGAACGCTCTGCCTCTGGAGGCTGTCTCAGCCCCAAACCTAGCAAAGTTCAAGGAAATGCTCCATCTGCACTTGCACGACAGACTATTTGACTTTGTGTATTTTTTTTTTTTAATTTTGCTTCCCGGTTGACCTGTGTAAAAACTCTTCTACCTATATGCTGCTTATCGTTTGTCTTTTTATGACTGTGTTGCTGTTTACCGTACCGTACTCTTGTGTTCGTTACTTTGTGTTTAAGTGCCTTGTATTCATGCGTGTCACCTTGGAAGACGCTCAACTCCAGCCTTCGTACTTCATAATCTTCCCCAGACAAGAACTCAACTCTGGCTGGTGCGTCTAGGATTCAGGGTTCCTGTTCCTCATACCCACTTCTCACTTCCTTCCTGACTTCCTAAATGACACTGGGAACCCAACCAGGTGAGTATACCAGGTGAGTCGAAATGCGTCGAATGAATTATAAGTTGACCTTGAAAGGTCATTTTTAAAATTTGACCTCAGGGCAAGGTCATGACCTGACGGAGAAGGGTCATGCTGCATGTCAGTCAATCTGTATCGTCGAGCAGAACCCATCTGACATATTTTCAACGCTCTAGCACGTCTCTATAAAAATATATATAGGTAGTAAAAAACTGCTGATGACCTTTTATGACCTTAGGTGACCTCAGAAGCACAGAGGGACGACGGGTGCAATTTTGCATTTCAGTGTGTCATGTTTACCTACAAACTGATGTTTGGAGTTTTCTTTTTTAGAACGACATTCATCCAAAAGAGGCGCAATTCAGTTTTCTCCCATTGACTTATAATGTAGAGGTCGGAAAATTGACCTGCCCTTAGGACATAGGCATCAAAATTCCTAGATAAACATTTTATGCTTACTGTTACTCTGAACAATTGCTGACAGTTTCAAAGCGATTATTCAGTCTGGGTATCTACAGCGAGCCTTTAAACTTTTTCTAAGGTAAGGTCACGTGACCTGGTGACCTGACCTTGAAAGACCGGGGGGTCTGAAATTTTTACAACATGTGCTGGAATTTTGTATGAACAGTTGTTTTTTAGATACTCGCGAAAAAAATGAGGAGGGGGCGGTAAAACATCCCCCAGCACGGCTCGGCTTAACCCGCCCCGGGCCGGTGGGGGGGGGGGGGTGTTTGAACACCCCCTGCAGTTTTTCGCAGATATCTGAAAAATGGCCGTTTTTGGTACACCTGTTTGTGCATCTTTTCCGCACATGTGAAAATTTCAGACCCAGGTCGCCCAAGGTCAGATCACCAGGTCACTCCAAGTGACATCACCTACGAAAAAATAGGACTCCTCGTCCTAGCTACACCGACTGAACGATTGCCTTGAAACTTTCAGCGATTGATAGGAGTAACAGTATCTATAAAAAGTTTATCTCGGAATTTTGATATCTGTGACCTAAGGTCAGGTCAATTTTGCGGCCTCTCCATTATTAGGTAGTCAATGAGAGAAAATTGAAAAGCGTCTGTTTTGCACGAACGCCATTCTAGACACTCTCAAACATCGAGATGCTTGTCAAATTGACACACTAAACCGGAAAATGGCATTTGTGACCCCTCGTTATGTCCCCGAAGGTCATCTCAGGTCACGAATAGTTTTTGACATTTTTTCTTGCTAATAACTTCTGATAGAGGCATGCTAGAGCGATGAAAACGCCTTAGATGTGTTCGGCTCGACGTTGCGGATCGGCTGGTATGCAACATGACCTTTTCCGGTCAGGTCATGACCTTGACCTGAGGTCAAATTTTCAAGGTGACCATTCAAGGTCAAATTATAATTCATTCGACTCGTCTCGACGAGAGGAACACGATGCTGGCAAAAGAAATGTCGTGGCACTTAAGAGTCAAAAGTTATTGCCGAAAAACACTTTTCGTAAAAACGGCTATTTTTTAGGTTTTCCCTCTGGAGGCTAAACCATTGACCTAAGGTCAAATATGAGGGCATAATAACGAAAGAGCGTTAAAAGAGCTATCGAATGCGCTTTTCCTCGGCGCTGTAGCTCTATCAGTTCCCGAGTTAGCCGTTGGCAGTTTCCAAAATGTTGAAATAGTCAACATTTTACCTTTGGTGACCTCTGGTGACCTGACCTTTGACCTGACCTAAAAATTGACCAGAGTTTTCGACCTGATTTTTCCGTTCTCTCCGTTCTTTTTGCCGTTCTTTCGAATGCCGCTTACCGCGTGTCGCTACGTGGCCCAGGAGCCGAGTTAGAAGGGGGTGTTCAGACACCCCCCGGCCCGGCGCGGAAGTCGCGGAGCACCGGGCCGTCACGGGTTAACCTTCGCCCCAGTGGGGGGGGGGGCATATGTTACCACCCTGTCGCGTTTTTTGCGTTTAAATAAAAAACCGCGGCGCGTAGCGCCGCGCCGCTTTGAATAGCTTTTGGTACATCAATTTCGGACAATGTGTGAAATTTTGACCCCAGGTCATGTCAGGTCAGGTCACCAGGTCAAGTTAACTGACAAAGCCTAGAAAGAAGTTTGCAATCATGTCCAGCCTGCAGTGTTTGTCGGAAAGGTTTTAAACTTGGTGGATTGCATCATGTTATGGGCGCCTACAATTTGTATATCTCGGATTTTTTTTATATCAGTGACCTAAGGTCAGGTCAGTGGCGTGACCTTTCCATTACAAGTCAATGGAGAAAAATGAAAATGCCTCTAGATCCGTGTGTACGCATAGGAGCAGTCCAAATATTTCAGAATCACAATGATTTGGACCACCCGTGATGACCATGGTGTCATTTTTGCTGATAGCCTCTAGAAAGGTCATCCGAGGTCATTTGAGGCTACAAACATATTTTTGCCAATAACTCGCAATTGGAAAGAGATAGAACGCTGGGGATGGTCTTATTGTGTTTGTCTTGCCGAGACGCATCGACTGATATGCAACATGACCTTTTCCGGTCAGGTGATGACCTTGACCTGAGGTCAAATTTTCAAGTTGACCTTTCAAAGTCAAATTATAGTTCATTCGACGCGTCTCGGCGAGAGGAACACGATTCTGGCAATAGAAATGTCGTGGCTTTTTGTAGTCGAAAGTTATTGTCGAAAAACACTTTTCGTAAAAACAGCCATTTTGGAGTTTTTGCCCTCTGGAGGCTAAACCCGTGACCTGAGGCCAATTTTGATAATAACCTTTTCAAAAGAAGAGTTCAAGAGCTATCGATTGCTTTCTCATGCGTTTTCCTAGCTACCATAGTTTTTTGAGATAATGGCATGTTTTCTGAAAAATATAATGACCATTGGCAAATTTTGACCTTTGATGACCTCTGGTGACCCCAATATTGCTCTAAGACGAAAAATGACAAAATACTTTCAAACGTGCGCATTGAGAGCTATCGACTGCTTTTTACCGCGTCTTTCTAGCCCTCTTAGTTTTTGAGTTAGAGGTGGGTGGTAACATATGCCCCCCCCCCCCCCACTAGGGTGAAGTTGGCTGAGACTGCCACTGGGGCGCGCGTTAAGGTTTGGCGTTTATACATCGATGATACTTTTGTATTGAAGAAGGGACACATGCTGAACAGCCTTCGCAAACGCGCTGGACAGTCAGGCAGCACTTGGGTTGCTTTCATGTTAGAGAGGAGGAAAAATGATGTTTAGCCATTCATGGATGTAAAAGCGGGGAGTCGGGATCTGGAAGACGAAACAGATGACAACAGCGGTGTAAAATGAAGCACCACAAGAACACTTATCTTAACTTTAACTCTTACCATAGTAAACAACACAAAGAGTCTCTGATTCGGTCGTTGGATATATTGCACGTAACGTTGCCGTTATTTTTTTCAGTGTGAGCGCTGTGTATGGTGAATCGAATATGTGTACAATGTACATACATACACCTACAGGGTGTCCCATAAGTTCGTTCTCACATTATGTTTGCATGTGAAACAGAGTACATTGCGTTTTGGTATATTTATGACCCCTCAATGTGCTCCCCATTTAATAGGCAAACACATGAATGCATGCTGCGGCATGCCAACCGGCATGTTTGGCTGCATAGCAGGCTTAAAGTTAACCCAGACTGACTTGACATGCGCCGTGAGCTCCTCGAGGCTGGAACAGCGCTACGCTTCGACGAGCCTCAACTTCAGCATAACCAACAAATTTTTTATGAAATTTTGATCCGATGAGGTGCCTGGCATGTGATCTTGCAACAAACGCCTGTCACAGTCTCCTTGCACCGCTTTTAAGCTTTGCTTGACCTGTGCACTGATGCACTGTCTTGCCTGAAGATGGGCCTACGACCTCCCGGATGCCATTTTCTCCTCTATAAATGTGTTCATACTCGCGGTTCGAGTTCAGCTTGAGGGCTGAAATTCCTCCTAGATGTTCTTGGAAAAGCATTCTGCTTCCCAAAACTGTTTCTGGGTTGCCACTTGTAACTTGATCAACTCCAGAACGCCTATAACCCCACAACACAGTGACCCTGGCCTTTTGCATAGGAACATAACGGGACGAAATGAAGGCCTCCTCCTTCGCCCTTATGGGGTTGTTTTCGGGTTTGGACGGGTGTTTCATCTCGAACGTGGACTAGTTAGTCCAGATGACCTGGTTGATGTCATCAGCCCTCTAGTTTTGTTTAGCCTCAGGCATAACGAAACTCATGTTTGGCCATTTTAAGACGTTTTTGACTGTTTTGTGCCCTCCGGTAAGCAAAGCTTAAGTCACCTTGAGTTATGTACCCCGAAAGAACACTCTTAGACAGCTGGTAATCCATCCTGAAAAGTCTGTTTACCAACTTTCTAACCCTTTGACCTTTTTGATGGCCACTTTGGCGCCACACAGTTTTGGCCACTTGGCTCATTCCTGAGGGCTGGCTAGAAAGAGGATAAACTTGCAGTGATTGACTCCCAACAAATCATCGGCGTCACTTGCTGACTGTGCGTCCAGTTAGCGATGGATATTGGCTACAGACTGGTAGGCCTCAATCACCCTCAATCGTCGCGAATGGTCACGTGCTGACTAAATACTGAGACGTACCCGTATCGGAGACCTCTATGTTGCGGCGTTAGCCGTGTCTGTAGGAAGCGGGCTTTCTAGCAAAAACTATTTTGTCTACAGAAATTAGCTACTGTGGAGCATATTTCTACCACCCATGGCAACCATGTAAGCTTAGTTACGAACCAATTTCAGCGTGCCTTTAAGCAAGAAAGCCTAAAAACGTAAAATTTAGGTGAGAACGAACTTATGGGACACCCTGTACATATATGTGCAAGTCAAGAATAAAACCAATCATATATGCGCCTTTGCAGTTCATCGTGACATCAAGCCGTCCAACCTGATGCTGGTGAAAAGCAAAAAAGGCGAGATCGTGACAAAGCTGGCCGATTTTGGCATATCCAAGGAGATGACAGCTACCAAAATACAAATGACCGCTGGCATCGGTACCCTGGATTGGATGGCTCCGGAAGCCCATACGGGTGGATATCAACAGGGAACCGTAAGTACAGTTCTCACTTCACATTCTTAGCCTCCATGGGAAGTGAGAACAAATTGGAAAATACCGGCTTACGACTTCCCAATAGATGCCATTTTCCGTTGGCGGAAATGGTAGATAATGTTTTGAAATTAACCCGCGCACCGACGGGGGTCTGCGCCAACTTCGTACCGACGGGGGGGGGGCGGATGACCGCCCCCCCCCCCTGAGATCTCGAGAACGAAGCAAGATAGCGACAAGCGATAAACGGCAAGGAATACGCACGGACAAGGTCTACAATTTTTACAAAGGTCATTTTCAGGTCAGGTCAAAGATGACGTCACAGGGGTCAAAAAAGTCAAAATGGCGGCGCTAGGTATGGAGAGAGTTTTTCTCGAATAACTTTCGAACTAGTTAATATAGGAACAAACTAAGGGCAGCATCGTGATCCTCTCGTCAATCCGCATCGAATGATATATATGTTGACCTCGAAAGGTCAAAGGTTGACCTCAGGTCACGTGACCTCGAGGTCATCATGTATATCATTCGATGCGCCTTGACGAGCTGAACACAATGAGACCATCCGCGCGGCTGTATCTTGTTCCTGTACGGAGTTATTGTCAAAAAACCGCTGGTGACCTTTGATGACGTCACATGACCTTACAGCTGCCCAACAGCAAAACAGACCTCAAGGTAGTGAAGGTTGATCGTATATGAGGTCATGTATGGTTTATGGGGCCATTCCGACCCGTTTTAGTGGTAAAAACAGGCAGGGGCGGTCGCAGACTTGGCGTTGGGGGGGGGGGGGGGCAACTTGGCAAAGGGGCCCCTGCACTGACCCGGGGGGCCCGGTGCTAGCTTAAAGGGGCCCACGGGCGTAGTGCATGAGTGCAGAAATCCAGCCATGACGTACTATGTCGAAAAGGTAAGTTCATTTGGAAGCATTGGTAATGTCAATAATTCACGCAACTGTGAATTGACTACCGCAAAAAGTAAAACCGGCTAACTTAGCCATTTTGAAGATATCGTGCTAAAACTTTTGACAGTGGGTCATCGGTATGTGTTCAATCACATGTGTTCCGTTTCTTATTTTTCACTTGAGCACACATGTAAGTTTTGAAGACCATCACAGTAGCAAATGCATCGAAAGATGGATAGTACCTAGTGGGCAAAATATCCTGAAGTTGTCGTGCTGCATCGAAAGTAGTGTTGATGAGAAAATGGGTTTTATTCCTGATTATTGTGGGTAGAGAATACATTGTCTGCACCCACTGGAGAATTATTGTTGGTGCAACTTCACCCACTGCACCCGTGGCTCCTACACTAATAGGCCCATGGGGCATGGATAACGCTTCGGCGATACCTATCGCATAGAGGCTGCAATGTGGCCCTTAGAGTACAGTGTCAGACCCCCAGAGGCCGGCGTTGGACCCAAGGGTCAGCGAAGGGCCTCAAAGGCCCCAGATGGGGCCCCAGAGGCTGATGTGGGCCCTCAGAGGCAAATGCGTGACGCCCAAAGGTAAGTCTTTGGCCCCCATAGAACAAAATACGGCCATCAGTGGCCGGTGTAGAGACCTCATAGGCCAGTTGGGGGCATATAGAGGCCAGTTTAGGGCCCTCAGAGACCAGTACAGGGCCTGCAAAGGGCAGTTTGAGACCATCAGAGACCGACTTGGGCACTCAGATGCTAATGTGGGTCCTTACAGGCCAGCATGGGGCCCTCAGAGGTTAGCGTGGCCGCCGTGGGGCCCTTAAAGACCAGCTTGGGTCGGCGTTGGACCCCAGAGGCCAGCCTCAAAGGCCAAAGATGGGCCCTCAAAGGTGATGCGGGCCCTAAGAGGCCGGCATCGGGTGTTCAGAATCCAGTGCGGGGCCCTCAGAGGCTAATGTGTGCCCTTACAGCCCAGCATGGGGCCCTCAGAGGTCAGAATGGGGCCCGGAAAGACTGGCATGGGCCGGCGTTGGACCCCAGAGGCCAGCAGAGGACCCTCAAAGGCCAAGATGGGCCCTCAGAGGCCGATGCGGGCCCTTAGAGGCCGGTATCAGGTCTTCAGAATTCAGTGCGGGGCCCATAGAGGCTAATGTATGTCCTTACAGGCCAGCATGGGGCCCTCAGAGGTCAGTGTGGGCCCTAAAAGACCGGCATGGGCCGGCGTTGGACCCCAGAGGCCAGCGGAGGGCCCTCAAAGGCCAAGATGGGCCCTCAGAGGCCGATGCGGGCCCTTGGAGGCTGGCATTGGGTCTTCAGAATCCAGTGCGGGGGGCCTCAGAGGCTAATGTGGGTCCTTATAGGCTAGCATGGGGCCCTTAGAGGTCAGTGTGGGGCCCTAAAAGACCGGCATAGGCCGGCGTTGGACCCAAGAGACCAGCGGAGGGCCCTCAAAGACCAAGAGGGGCCCTCAGAGGTCGATCCGGGCTCTTAGTGGCCGACATCGGGTCTTCAGAATCCAGTGCGGGGCCCTCAGAGGCAATTAAAGGCTAGTCTTGAGACAGAAATGAGGCCACCAGAGCCTGTGTGAGGCCCTCAGCCGCCGGTTGGGCCCCTGAGACCGGTTTAGGGGCCCTTAAAGGCCAGTGGAGGGCCCTTAGAGGTCAACGTGGGTCCTCAGCGGTTAATGTGGGCGCTTGACCGCCACTGAAGGGCCCTCAGAGGTGAGTGTAGGACCCTCAAAGACCGGTATGGGAGCTGTTAATAGCTGGCGTGGGTTTCTCGAGCCTCGTGACAATCGAATACGGGCCAGGGCCCAATACGCCCATGGGGGCCCATCGGTTGTTTGGGGGGGCCAAATGATATGATGGCCCCCCCTGATTTGCCTTTGGGGGGGGGCATGGCCCTGATGCCCCCCCCCCCTGCGACCGCCACTGAAAACAGGGAGTTGATTTTTCCCCCATTGACTTATAATGGGGAGGTCGAGAAATTGACCTGACCTCATAGGCCATCGATATCAAAATTCCGAGATATACAAATTGTAGCTACTAATGACCTTATAACATCCTGCGACTTTCAAAGGCCTCCAACATCTACTGTAGCTCTGGCACGGTGACAAAGTTGCAAAAAAGTGACTTGAGGTTGGGTCATTCAAAGTGACCTGGTGACCTGACCTTAACCCGCGCACCGACGGGGGTCTGCGCCAACTTCGCACCGACGGGGGGGGCGGATGACCGCCCCCCCCCTGAGATCTCGAGAACGAAGCAAGATAGCGATAAGCGGTAAACGGCATCGGATACGCACGGACAAGGTCTACAATTTTTTAAAGGTCATTTTCAGGTCAGGTCAAAGATGACGTCACAGGGGTCGAAAAAGTTAAAATGGCGGCGCTAGAAATGGAGAGAGTTTTTCTCGAATAACTTTCGAATTAGTCAAGATAGGAACAAACTAAGGGCACCATCGTGATCCTCTTGGCAATCCGCATCGAATGATATATATGTTGACCTCGAAAGGTCAAGGTCAAAGGTTGACCTCAGGTCACGTGACCTCGAGGTCATCATGTATATCATTCGATGCGTCTTGACGAGCTGAACACAATGAGACCATCCGCGCGGCTGTATCTTGTTCCTGTACGGAGTTATTGGCAAAAAACCGCCGGTGACCTTTGATGACCTCACATGACCTTACAGCTGCCCAACAGCAGAACAGACCTCAAGGTAGTGAAGGTTGATCGTATATGAAGTCATGTATGGTATATGGGGCCATTCCGACCCGTTTTAGTGGTAAAAACAGGGAGTTGATTTTTCCCCCATTGACTTATAATGGGGAGGTCGCGAAATTGACCTGACCTTAGGTCAACGACATCAAAATTCCGAGATAAATAAATTGTAGCTACTAATGACCTAATAACATCCTGCGACTTTCAAAGGCCTCCGACATCTACTGTAGCTCTGGCACGGTGACAAAGTTGCAAAAAAGTGACTTGAGGTTGGGTCATTCAAAGTGACCTGGTGACCTGACCTTGAAAGTTAGGAGGTTAAAACTTGCACACCATGTGCAAAATTGATGAGAGAATAGTTTTACCAAATTTCGCGGCGCTACGCGCCGCGGTTTTCCCGCTATCCGCAAAAAACCTCAGGGGGGGGCGGATATCCGCCCCCCCCGTCGGTGCGCGGGTTAAAAGATAGGAGGTTCAAACTTGCACACCATGTGTAAAATTAATGAGAGAATAGTCGTACCAAATTTCGTAGCGCCGCGGTTTTCCCGCTATTCGCGAAAAACCTCAGGGGGGGGGGGCGGATATCCGCCCCCTCCCGTCGGTGCGCGTGTTAACCAGGTAGGTAAGTACGTACCATTATTCGTACTAGTATCCTTTGCACAAATCATATATTTCAATATACCTAAGTCCTTTGCCCAAATCCTCTATTTTTACAAATCCGTATTTTCTGATCAAATTGCAAAGTGCCACGATTCGGCTATTTCTATTCCTATTCAGCATTCGGTCCTGTGGTGACAGGTCATGTTTTTTTTTTTTTTTGGCCGGTCAGAAACAAGCCTTGACACGGCTGGTCACTCAGCCTCGGAGCTTCTATCCCGAGAAATAAACCTGTGTTTGACTTGCACTACAGCTTCTTACGGGAGGCGCATTTCTTTCAAAATGTGCAACATAGCTGTTTTCAGAGCCCAGAGGTTTGCTCTCGATGGTCTTGGCTATTTTCGGTAACGTTTGACAAGTTCATCCTAATCGTTTCCACCAAAAATCATTGAGTACCGTTTTTGTTTGTTTGTTTGTTTGTTTGTTTGTTTGTTTGTTTGTTTGTTTGTTTGTTTGTTTGTTTGAGATTATGGCCCTTTCATTTATTCCAGCACCACGGCAATTGAACTTTTGTAAACAAAACTGTAAAACAGAGCGAACCGAAGACAACGTATTTATCTTGATTGGCTCTATGCTGATGCTGATGATCATGATGCGGTTTCTTGATGGTGAAATCATATGCTTTGTTTCTTCAGTGTCATCAGCATGCTTCTTTTAGACAATCCACTAATCTATTCCCTGTGCATGTATATTTCTTGTTCTCAATGAATGTTCTAAAGTACCTCATTCATAGTCGGTCATCGTGATCTTTACCGTTTTGCACTAATATCTGGCAAAAACATTTTTTCTAGGAGAAGACAGCTGACATCTTTTCGCTCGGATGTGTCTTCCACTTCATCATCTTCTCCGGAAAGCATCCTTTCGGCGATCTGTCCGACAGGATGGCAAACATCCAACAGGGAAAACCGTGGTGAGTATACGTCTTCCTCTTAAGAGGGGTTTTGCTTATACATCCGCGAATGGCTTTGGTGATTTACCACTTACCAGGCTAGAAAATTAAAACAAACTAAATTATGCGATAAGCTATTACGTGTTTAGCTATGAAACATTAAGTACTAAATAGCAAACTAAACCTACATATATCTTAATCTGTTGAGTGCTTGAGCAAGGAGCATAATACAAGCGTAATACACAAGTTTTAATGACCGGATCTCCTTGAAATTACCAAAATCGAAAAAGCTAAATATTTATTCGTTGGTATTCGTTGCTATTCGATAAGATACAAAAAAAAGTGATGAATTTTCGGTCACGGACCTTCTTCTGATCTAACTATGTTTTTGAATATATGTTTGAATGTTTTTGAATATATCTATATGTTTGAATTGTACTTCAAAAACATAGTTAGATCAGAAGAAGGTCCGTGACCGAAAATTCATCACTTTTTTTTGTATCTTATCGAATAGCAACGAATACCAACGAATAAATATTTAGCTTTTTCGATTTTGGTAATTTCAAGGAGATCCGGTCATTAAAACTTGTCTACATATATCTTAATAAATAAGCAATGCAGTTTTTTTTTATTTTTGGCAGAAATTCGACGCTGTGCACGGGCTAGTTAAAATTTGAGCAGCATACCGTGTCCTTCAACAGGGGCATCCATACAAAAGTTGTTTTAGCATTTGCTCTGGTGCTCATTTCTGCCGGACTTGGGGCTTATTATCCATTTTTAGGAGGAAAATCCACGGCACGTAGCGTCGCAAACCTTGAAATAGGCGAGACCGGGCTGGAGTGGATACCCTGGCGCTTTTCTCGAGGCAGCGCTTCATTTTTGAACTTGGTGAAATTCTTTCTATGTCAATGTGATCATCATATTGACATAGAAATAGTTACCCAATTTGATATGTCGTGAAACGCCTTCCTCCTCACAATAATAACCACCCGACTGGGTAATGCGTGACACTACGTCTCCCGCAACGGTCGGCGACCGTCGTTCCAATGCAGTGGTCGCTGAAAGTGATTGCGGCAACGCACACTCTAGGAGTTCGTATGACGCGTCCACTTCATCACCCGAATCAAAATCAGTCCCGTAGTGATGTCGACGGCACTTGACGGTGAACGTCACGATCCATCAGACACGGCGTCTCATTGTCCCCGCTGATCACGCGAGGCGCACCGCCCGCCTCCGCCCACGACGGCTCCTTGACGGTGTCCACTTGGAGAGCCGCTCGTCGTGAACTCTGGTTTCGTCATCCAGACGGTACAGGACCGGATCTGTCTGCTGTACATACGTACGGTTTGTTGGCGTTCTGAAAACGAGCATGAAAATTGTCTGCTATGGCGTTGGCCTTCTTTTCTTTTTTGGTGGTGGGATGCGTACGCATGCAGTTAAAGCGCTTTTCTTCTCTTTTTAATTCTTTTCTTTTTAATTTGTGTGCGTCATTTTTTAATTTGTGCTTTCTTTTTTACGTAAAGTTTTCAGTGGCGTCGTGAGAGGTGGGCGGTGCTGCCTTTTTCGTTATTTACCCCGTTTACATGAGTCATTCAGCCTAAACGGAAATATCCGATTAGCCAGGGAACGGAAAAATGCGTTTCGGTGGCCCCGTTTACATGAGCCTTATCGGAAAAAACTCGTTCCGGAACGGATAATTCCCTTTACGCCGGCAGCCCGAAAAATACGGATATTTTGCGCATTTTTACATGTCTGGCGCAGCTCCTATCAAGCATTATTTCAGTCCCACACACAAGGGGGAAAAGCTCAAAAAATTGAGCGCTCAAAAAATTGAGCGGGCCCCATTATGAAGGAATAGGCGAAACGATGGTATTTTACAATGCCTTTAGCGTCACACCCCGACTGGAAAAAATGCACGCTTTCGTCGAGAACTCGAGCGTAGTTGGGCGTTTGCGCCGAAATTTTTCGGCGTACTTCGGCGTAAATCGACGGCTTGCGCCGAAATTTTCGGCGTACTTCGGCGTAAATCGACGGTTTTCTCTATCTCTCTATCGCAAACGGCTCCGGAGCAGTCGCGAAAAACCCGTCAGGGGGTGGCACCAACCCCCCTCGGCCGGCGAGAGTTAAATGTCTTCGGGAGTTAAACATCTTAAATATCACTTATCTTGTCTCGTGTTCGTCTCAGGGTATTTAAGTCATGTTCAGTGAACCTGATTGTGACTCTCCCACGGCGGGAACAGTTCACCGATCGAGAGTGAGGTTATGGATTGTCGGATCCCCTAGTTCAGATAACGTATGCTATCGTTTGCGTATTGACCGTTGTGATTCCTGTATTTCCGGCGTGTGGTTTGCGAGCGGACGCTGGCAATCGGTCCCGCGTGGCCTGGTATCTGCCCGATCCCATCGGCCGTGCTTGCACCACGCCTGTTGAAGGCCCCGTCAGGCGTCAGTCACCGGCTGGGCACATACTGCTGATCAGAGCCGGGCAACAAAATAAAGGTTACGTTATGGAACATGCCAGTGAGTTTGTGAGTCAGGAGATTTTGTGATAGCGAACGCTGGTGCTCGGTCCCGCATGGCCTGCTGATGTCTATTGTCTGCCCGATCCCGTCGACCGTGCCAACAACCGTCTGTAGACAGTAGTCACTGGAAGACAGCCACACACACACGCCAGCCCCCCCCCCCTCGACGAAAAGTGCGTGGCTACAGCCTGCAGCCATCAGTAAGCCTGGAAAATTTTCGGCGCATGAAGCACGGCTTGGTAAAATAATTTTGGCGCATAAACCCTTGCGCCGAAATTTCGGCGCATCACCTCCGCCGAGAACTTCAGCGTAGTGGAGGCATTTTTTCCAGTCGGGCGTCACACTACGGCAAATATCGTATCCAAATAAGGTATCAATGGCAAGAGGGAGCAACAAGGTTTCTTCTCGAACACTCGCCGTGATAATTTATATCGGTGTTTTTGGAAAGAAAATGCACAAAAGACGCTCAACTTTTTGAGCGCCACTTGTCGTTCGGGACCGCGATACTCAATAAATTGAGCGCCACGACAGACGACAGTCAGCTGGCGCTCAAAAAAATGAGTGCCGGCCAGCATCTACACTCAATTTTTTGAGCGTTCTCCGTGACAGGTGAAGCCGGTACTGGCTGCCATTTTTGATGTTCTGTTCGTTGAAATACGTTAAACTGAGTTGAAACAGAAATGCAGGAAGTTGAATGCTACGTGGCACCTTAACTTTTCACAAACCCATGGCATCATGTCACATTTTCCGCTAGTAGTTTTATCGGTCGCCTTTCGGATTCGGCACACCTCAGATAATTATACAGGGCTTGAATAATCCGTATGAATACTGTATTGATATTCTCTGACTGTACTGGGAGAAGGGAATACGTGAATACAGAAAGACATCCACCCACGCTCGAATATTGGAGAATTATAGCAGGAAAAACTGTATTGCCACGGTTACAACTTACAAGGCCGTCGGCCGCAAACAAACAAAAATACTATACAATGTGGGTTAGATTCACAAACATCATCAAGTGTGGAACACAGAGACGAGCAAAACAACATCACATTATCGCATGCCAGCCCGACCACATTGGAACCGGGTGACCTGCGACCGGAACATGCGTCTTGCCAGCATACATCACAAAAGCAGGAGGCAGTGTCGTACTGCTTTGATCCAAAATATGCCATATAACAAATGATATAAACGACCTAAGCTCGGACTAAGCTAATCATTATCAAATCCTTAACATGTAAAGGACGAATGGAAACATCGAGTCTCAGACCAGCAGTAGCAACCATCACAGTAGCAACATCACAAAGAACACGCGGCATTATCAGACAGCCGTTTTGTTATCGGGCTACAGGCGGCGACGGCGTGGTTGCAGACCAGCTGCGAGGTAGCGGCGTGCGGGCAAAAGGCACGGGCACACCTCCATGTGGCCGTGCAGACAGTGCGCGGTCGGCGTCGCATAGTGGGCGGCATCGGGCTGTCCCGGGGCCGTCGAAGCCGCACAGGTTGTCGGCGCATGTTGGCGCGCGCGGTCACCACGGCCAGCTGCTCACCGCCAGCACAGACTGCGCAGCGTCGCCGCTCCACCGGCCAGAACACGCAGACAACCCTTCTTGCAGTCGCACAACACGTAGCCAAACTCATTCACCTGCTCCACCATGTTGTTGATGTCACCGAGTCGTTCAAGTTGTGGCTCGTGCCGTCGAGCATGACCTGCCCGATCGGACACGGGTCAGCGGCTTCTGCTCCAGCGAAGTCTTCATCTTGGTGACGTCTTGCTGATCTCCACAAAGGCTGAGCAGATGACCTTACCCACAGGGACGGCCGACGTCCTCGCCAGCGACCGCTTGGTTGTGCAGACCTGCCAGAAAAAGAAAAGCTGTTTGGTGATCTCAAACGATTTTTTTCTTTATGCAGTGGAACAAAATGGAAAATATGTCATACAACAAGAACTAAAAAAAGATGCAGCCTAGGTCGTCTAATAAATGGGTGCAACATTGATAACATTCGTCATTGAATGAATTCTGCAAATGCTTTTGATAAAATGTGTGGTGATTATAAGGAGACCATTTTACTATAAAATTGCTCAGGATTCCCTATCTGGACCTGTCAAAAAATCCTGACTGCACACCAACAATGAGCATTAAATCCGAAACCTCTACCAGGTACCTAGGGATAATTAAATTCTGATTCAGGAAAATATTTCACATCATACAAATAAAAACCTTTACTATATTGAAACTGAAAATGTGATGCCGATCCAGTGACATAAGGGTCTCAAAGTATAATAATGAATTAATCTATTATAAATTTGGTGGTGACTGCCGACTGGCGTCTGGCGGCCTAGACCTTGAGGCTTGAAAGTGGCCTTCCTTTTCCGTTGACTCTGATCCTCCAGATGGAAATGATAGGTATAAAGGATCATTTTTATCTTATTTCATATGAGCCAGTCAGCAAAGTGGCTATCCTGTTTCAGCATTCACACACACAATAGTTGACTGT